AGACCACTCAAGTCTGAATCAGGCCCTGATAATGGCTTCAGCTCCGTCACCAAACCTGTTCTGTGTATTCACTTGTTTGAGCCTTTATTTCCTTCTGTATCAAATGGAGATAACAGTCACTATCTTGAAAGGTTAGTGAAAGACTAAGAAAACTATATCTGTATAACAATTAGGAGAATTGTGGAATAACCTGGATATATGTAATAATATAAGTTACTATTATACTGATATGACATACACAGCTACATCCATTTGGAAAGCACTTCTTTGTCTTGTTGCTTTAGAGTTAAGTAGACCTGGTTTCCAATCTCGGCCCCAGGACTTAGGAGTTGTATGGCTTTGAACAAGTCAACCATTTCTTTGAAGCCTTCCTTTCCTTATCTGTGAAATATGACTCCTAATGCTTCCCTACCTTTGTAGTGAAGATTAAAGTTGTATTTCGGTTTCTCTTTCCCTGCAGAAAATTTCCAACTCCCAAAAGCTAGAAGCAAGCAGAGAAAGATCTTGGAAAAGCATAAAGAGCTGTGCTCATGCAGAAGACACCAGAGTGACTAATACCTATCCTAGGGATACCCAGCAGGCTTTGGTTCCCTGCTATCACTAGGAGGCTAGGAGATCAACACTGATTACTTAGAGTGCTGTCTTGGGGGTGGGATAATGGAGTTGGGCCTAGGAGAATAATGCAGTCATCAATTAGTGATGTCTGCTGTGGACAGGGGATGGAGACAATGGCTGCTGACTTAATACGTTCAAAAATTCATTGGTGTCCAGTCTTCCTATTTTTTTTTTTTTTTTTTTTTTTACTTTGTGGATGTTCTAGCTTTTAACGTAACAACAGATCATTCTTTTTTTTTTTTTTTGAGGTGGAGTTTCACTCTGGTTGCCCAGGCTGCAGTGCAGTAGCACCATCTCAGCTCCTGCAACCCCCACCCCTCCAGGGTTCAAGTAATTTTGCCACTCAACACGCCCAGCTAATTTTTGTATTTTTAGTAGAGACGGGGTTTCACACTGTGTTATTCAGGCTGGTCTTGAACTCCAGACCTCAAATGATCCACCCATTTTGGCCTCCAAAAGTGCAGAGATTACAGGTATGAGCCACCACACCTGGCCCAGATCATTCTTTTACCATCAGTCTTTCTAAATTAAATACCTTTTTTCTGGGGGGGGGGAGGGGAAGGGCGGTACGTTGGCTACCTTGGAAAGAAGGAACAAGGAGGTAAGCCAAGAAAGGGTTGTTCTGAAGCCGATAAACAGAAAGTGACAGCTGTCAGAAAGGAATCCTCATAAAGAGCAGTGAATAGTCTGGAGCCATTCCCTGCCCAGATAACAGTATCTCTTCTCCTCTGGCCAACCCCCTCACTTCCTCCAGCCTTTTCAATACAACCTTAGTCAACAAAAATTGTAAACTGAGTTGAATACTAAACTCAGTTTAGTATTTGCTTACTAAAGGAAGGGCATATACTTTAGCAGCAAGGTTTCTTGTCCAAATTAGTTAAAAATGATCTATTTTAATGGCTTTGCATTTTAAAAAGATGAGGTTCCTTTAGTTGGAAATTCTCTTTGGTGGAGCAAGGCCCTCTTGACTATAAAGCATCACCCTACAAATACGAGTTTTGCTATGTTGGCCAGGCTGGTCTCACAGAGGGACGGCGTTCCCACCAATGGAAACAGCAAGCAGGAAGGTCCTATGGTGAGCCTGGAATGTGAAAGGCACTAAAAGGAGGTGGGTGTGGCCCATGCAGAGTGCTCAAGCGCGAGGGGAGAGCCATGGTGACTGCCTAGAGCAGGCTGCTCTCATTCATCAGCCTCCTGGGCCTGGACAGACCTTCCTCTTGGCATCTCTAAGAGTTGTGAAGCAGCAGGCCACTTACATACAGGAGCGGGTCCAGTCTCTAAGTTCAACCCCCGTGCTCTAAGTGGCTCCCGGCAGCTGGCCAGCATTCACACCTTCTTACTGAGCAAATAAATATGGTCACAGATTCCAAGAAAGACCACCCATGACTTCCTCACCTCAATGATCCCCCCAGGAGAAGGAGATGGTAGAAAAGCTGGCCAGTCACTTATAAAAGGAGCCCCATTTTTTATGACACTGAGCAGCATGGCATGGGAGCACACCGATACGGATGACTACTGACGGCTTCATCCTGCAAGGCTTTTTATTGGAGGCTTCTCCATGGAGTGGGGGAAAAAATGAGATAGGAGAAGAGTTTCCATTTAATGTTTGGAAAAATGTGCCGCTTGGGCACTCCACTCTTGATGATGACAAATACTGACACAAGCAAACAGAACTGGAGGAGAAACCGAAAGAACAGTGTTTGCTGAAACCTCTAAGTGCTTCCCAGAATCTGAAAGAGTTCAAGGGTTTAATGGTTTTTTCCCACTATCACCAGATGTGAAGGAGGGGAGACGCTGAGAAGGTGATGGGGAGAAGGGCCGGAGCCAGCAGTGACCCACTGTGACTTGGGGACCCAGTAACAGAGGAGCAGGGTGCACTGTGACCAGGACCATCCTCATAAAAGGCCAGGTAAGCACATGCCTCTGGTCCTTCCATAGGTGCCCTGCCTGCCATTGGGAGCCTAAAATAATTCTCACTACATCCAAAATAACCATAAAAACAGCAACAACAACAATAATAATAAATCAAAATTCTGACACTTTTTTTTTGAGAGGGGGACTTGCTTTGTCACCCATGCAGGAGTGCAGTGGCATGATCTTGGCTCACTGCAACCTCCGCCTCCTGGGTTCAAGTGATTCTCCTGCCTCAGCCTCCCAAGTAGGTGGCATTACAGGCATATGCCACCACGCCCAGCTCATTTTTTTGTATTTTAAATAAAGACAGGGTTTTGCTCTATCGTCCAGACTAGTCTTGAAATCCTGACCTCAGGGGATCCACCCTCCTCGGCCTCCCAAAGTGCTAGAATTACAGGCGTGGGCCGCCATGCCTGGCCCTAAAATTCTGCCTCTTTAGCCCAATGTACAACCTACCAGCCTGCCTCCCTGAGCCCTCCCTGTCCCCCAGCTCCGGGGCACACTGGCCATCCTTCTAGTTCCTACCCACAACCTGTCATGCCTCAGGGGCCTTTGCACCAGCTACATCCTCCACTAGGAATATGCCCCCCTTGCTCTTCTATGGCAAGCTTGTTCATATCATTTAGGTTTCAGATTCAACGTCACCTCCTCATAGAAATCCTCAAACCAGTGGAGCTGCTCAGCTGCTCAGTAATACACTGCGATGTCGCAGCTACCACTGAACCATCTTTTTTTTTCTGATACTTGAGTTAATTAACTGTGTCTCCTCCACCAGAATATAAATATCGTGAGATCAGGAACCAAAGTCCCTTTTCGCCTATGAATACTCAGTGTGCAGAATAAGTAGAAGGTCCTCAGTAAATGTTTGCTGCCTAAATGAATGAACCAGATACTTCTGTGTCTAATACTAAGGGTCAAGGAAAGTGCAGAGTCCAAATATTTACTGAGCATCTAACACAGAGCCAGCACCTAGCTAGGTGCTTTGCATGCAACTTCTCAGCTACTTTCAAAAACCCCATGTAAGTTTCTTTTCCTTTTTGAGACAGAGTCTCACTCTGTTATCCATGCTGGAGTGCAGTGGCATGATCTCAGCTCACTGCAACCTCTGACTCCCGGGTTCCAGCGATTCTCCTGCCTTGGCCTCCCATGTAGCTGGGATTATAAATGCCCGCCACCACACCTGGCTAATTTTTATATTTTTAGTGGAGGCAGGGTTTCACCATGTTGGCCAGGCTGGTCTCGAACTCCTAACCTCAGGTGATCCGCCCACCTCGGCCTCCCAAAGTGCTGAGATTACAGGCGTGAGCCACCGCACCTAGCCCCACAAAAGTTTTTATTTCCCATTTGACAGTTGAGGAAAGTGAGGCACAGAGGTTGAGTCACTTATCTGAGGTCACACAGGTAGTTACTGAAAGGAATTAAAGCCAAACGCAGGTCGGCCTGACTCCACATGCCCTGCTTCTTCTGTTAAAGGGCCTCTTCTCACAGTCTCACAAAAAACTGACAATCAGTCTCAACGCTGCTCCTTGTTTGTTGCGAGACTGTGGGCAACCTGCCTAATCTCGCTGTGCCTTAATTTATTCAACTCTAAAAAGTGTGTTTCAGCCAGGCATGGTGGTTCACATCTGTAATCCCAGCACCTTAGGGGCAGATCACAAGGCCAGGAGATCGACACTATTCTGGTTAACACAGCGAAACCCCGTCTTTACTAAAAATACAAAAAACTAGCCGGGTGTGGTGGCGCACAGCTATAATCTCAGCTACTCGGAAGGCTGAGGCAGGAGAATCGATTAAACCTGGGAAGTGGAGGTTGCAGTGAGCTGAGATTGCACCACTGCACTCCAGCCTTGGTGACAGAGCAAGACTCCCTCTCAGGAAAAAAAAAAAAAAAAAATGTATAATATATATATATATATAAAAGGTAAGTTTCTATGAACACCAAATGAGACACAACATATGAACAAATTACAAACTATAAATGGTGAAGGAATGGGAACAGTTGTCATAGCCTATAGCTGTGGCGGTGACTTAGTGTCTGCCTAACACTGTCTTCACCCAACCATGCTGACCCCTAAAGGAGCCATTTACTCATAAGCCAATGTTTCCCCATGTACTGACTACGTCGAATCCCAGGTCTCTCATGTGGATATCATGTCCACAAAAACGCTGGAGGTTCCTGGCTATGAGAGACACTTATCTTTCATTCACTGGCGGTTTCCCTCGTTGTGCCCTCTGCTTAGAAACTCACTTCTGACCTCACCTCCTCTGGGCCAAATGTACCTTGTCTGCATCCACAGGGATCAGCCTTCAAGGGAACCGCTGATGTACCTGTCTCCCCCACCAGACACAATGCCACCAATGACATCATGTTCATCTACGTCCTGCCCTACACAGAGCCCGGCACGGGGGACATCCTTGCTGGATGAGTAGAGAAGCCGCCCCTTCCCTGGTGAGCCTTGTGGGCCACTTACATTTTCACTGTTGACATCAGCCTCACTGGGGCAGCCAAACAGTTCCCGCCTCAGAAGGTTCCCGTCGTACTCCAGGAAGGTCAGGTAGAGGTTGCGAAAAAACTCCACGTGCTTGTTCTTCACCCGGAGCTTCTTGGGGGAGTTCCAGTGAATGACCTGGCAGGGAGATAAGGAGGCAGGCAGGTGGGAGAGGACCCTCACACATGTAGGAAGCCGCAGCTCGGCACTGGGCTAAGCATGATTTGAGGGTCTGTTCGTTCACTCATTCAACATTGTGGTAGAGTGGTTATGAGAATGGGCTCTGAGGCCAGGTCAGATGGGATCAAACCCTGACTCTGCTCTATGTAGTCCTTTAATGTTGTGCAAGTGACTGAATCTCTGTGCCTCCATTTCCCCATCTGTGAAATGGGAATAATCTGTGCCAGTTACCACATTGTTATCTCTGCTCCCTAAGATGGGATGCTTAGGCCACGACTCTGCAAACCCCATTTCTGCTTGGCCGCCTGCTCCCAGTAGCTGCTGCCCACAAGGGGCATGACTAGGACATCAAGGGTCTGGAAGAAGAGAAAGGCACTCGCTCCTCCTGTTGCTTCTTGTCCTTGTGGGATCACCCTAGTCCCATTTTTCCAGCCCAGCAGTGGCAACTCTTTCCTGTAGCAGCAGGAAAAATCCATTTTGCAGTTTTCCCCACACTCAGAACATGCTACGCAGTCCCTGCTTCTCAGCCCAGTGATGCTGCCTCTGGAAATGGCTGGTGACCCCATCCTAGAGGTCTGAGTCCTGGCCCCAGGTTTTCATCATTTCCACCTCTTCTCCCATTCCTTCAGCTCTAGGGTAGTGCTTCTTGAACCAACTGAACACTTTATGCTTAATAACTATTTTTAAAGATTAAATTCTCTGTTCAAATTGCTGTGGTGTCTGCCTCTAGCCAGGATGTTGAATGATACAGTGTCTCATAAAGCTTTTTGAAATACAAGCAAGTTCGTGCCTATGAAGCATGCAAATACTGCCTAGCACGTGGTAAGGGCTCAAAAGATGCTGGTTCTGACTGAGTGCCTAGAGTACACAGGGCTGGGAAGTCGCCAGAGGCATGGGACACTGGGGCCCTCCCTTGGCACACTCACGGTCAGTTGGGGAAAAGTATCTACAAACAGGTCATTCGAATGTGATAATGGAGAGAGGATCAAAAGAAATAAGAAGCCAAGCATGGTGGCTCACGCCTGTAATCTCAGCACTTTGGGAGGCTGAGGTGGGCAGATCACCTGAGGTCAGGAGTTCGAGACCAGCCTGGCCAACACGGGGAAACCCCGTCTCTACTAAAAATACAAAAATTAGCTGGGCGTGGTGGCAGGCACCTATAATCCCAGCTACTCAGGAGGCTGAGGCACGAGAAATTGCTTGAACCCAGGAGGTGGAGGTTGCAGTGAGCTGAGATCATGCGAGTGCACCCCAGCCTGGGACACAAAGCGAGACTCCAGCTCAAAAAACAAAAAAGAAGAAATGTGAGCTGAAGAATGACCAGAGAAGTATCAAAGAAGATGATGCCTATGCTAGAGTTTGAGGGAGACAGGGCCTGGGGCAGAAGAAAGATGTGGGGTGGGGTGGGGTGTCTCATTTAGAACATGAGAACCCAAATGCTTTAGCTGGAACACAAGGGATGGAAAGATGTGGGGAGGTGCGGCTGGTAGTGGGGTCGTGGGGTCAGGCCCTGGACCGACCCGTGCTCAGCACTCAGACTGTAGGCACTGCAGAAATTCAGGAGGAGGAATATCCGTAACTCCAGGTTTCAGAAACATCAGTCTGATTATAACGGGGAAGACGCAAGTCGCAGGGTGGGAGACAGAAACCTGGAACCTGGGATGACAGTGATGAGTCCGTTGTAACATCTGGTCACGAGAAAAGGCCTTGGGGACATTTGGTTGGAGAGACTAGATATGCACAAGAAAAACAGACCTGGGAAAAGCAATAAAATATTTACAGACTATTAATTTGTTTATGACACAGTCATAACGAAGCGCACGCTCACTGCAGCCTCGACCTCCTGGGTTCAGGTGACCCTCCCACCTCGGCCCCCTGAGTATTTGGGACCAGGCACATACCACTATGCCCATCTAATTTTTGTATTTTTTTTTTTGTAGAGATAGGGTTTCGCCATGCTGCCCAGGCTGGTCTCAAACTCCTGGGCTCAAGTGATCCTCCCACCTTGGCCTCTCAAAGTGCTGGGATTATAGGTGAGTGACCATGCCTGGCCTAGAATACTTAATAGTACTGAACTTTGTTCCAAGAAAGTACTTTAATTATTAATAATGTTAGTATTAAAATGATTCATTATTACTACAGAATAACCGTGATCAGTAAAACATACTTTGCATTTGTTTATTTCATACTCATAATGGGCCTAACGGGCAGCACTATTATGAGCTCCATTTTACAGAAGAGGAAATAGAGGCACAGATAGACTCTGTAGTTTGCCTGTGGTCACAGAACTTCTGTGGTTTGGAACCTCTGAAGCCTGGCTCCAGAGTCCACCTGTTACACTTCTCACTGCGCCTGCACCATGTCTGAGATCAGCACACAGGGACCGAGAACAGAGGACTGGGCCAGGCACATGGGCTCTCCCAGCTGAGCCACATGAGCCGAACCCTGAATGACGGGTGGAGGCAACACCTACAGCATCTGCAGCACCTACAGTCTGAGTGTCTCACGGGGACAGGGAGAGTCCAGGTGAGGGAAATCACACAGTATCAGAAACAGCTAAGCCAGAAAAGACCCCAAGGGGGCCGCGCTGTGATGGGGACCCTGGTGATAAATGATCATATTCTCAATGTCCTTCAGCAGACACCAAGGCAAGGCTGAGCCCAGTGCAATGGCATGAATACCTGAGCACAGTCCCCAGAGAACCCTCCATGGGACACCTGTGACAGGAAAGGGAAGCCTGTACTGAGTGGCCACTGTTCATGCCCTTGGCTGGGAGCCTTCTCCTGGGGGGCTCACCCATGGGTTGAACACTTCACCAGCAGTTTTATATTCACTGGCTGCTTTTAGTCCACACAATGACCCTAGCAAGGCATGCAATCATAGAGAGGAAGAAACGGTGAAAAAGTGACTTGCCTATGGCCACCTAGCTGGTAAACCTGGGAACCAGGCTTCAGACAGAAGCATGTCTGATTCCCAGGCCCACGTTCTTTCCTCTGTAGAGTGGAGGACAGAAGCCAAGCTTTTACAGAGGAAACAAAATCGCCTTTCCCTCAGTAGCCCCCTGCCGCCCTTACTCCCCTCTCTGGGGGAGTTGAACAGTGTATCAAATGTAATGGACTGTCTCCCACTCCTCCAGAAAGTTCACATGTCAAAAGCCTAATTGCCAAGGTGATGACATTAGCAGGTGGGATCTTTGAGAAGTCGTTTGGTCACAAGGGAAGAACCCTTAGGAGCGGTATTAGCGCCCTTAGAAGAGAGACCCCAAAGTACTCCCTTGCTCACTTCCACCACGTGAGGATAGATGGAAAATGTACCAACTACGAACTGGAAAGCATACCCTCACCAGACACTGAATCTGCCAGCGCCCTAACCTTGGACTTCGCAGCCTCCAGAACTGAGAAATAAACATCCAGCAGCCAGAGAGGACTAAGATACTGAGGGAAGGAACTGGGTGTCCACAGCTCAGTCGCTTCCTCATTCCCTCCTTTGGTTGAGTTCTGTCTCTGTGAGTCTACAGCAGGGTCCAGAGCTGCCATCTGAAGAGAGGACTGGAAGACCCAGCTCCGTCTGCCCTCTGTTTTGGGAATGTGCATTAGCAATACTCATTGAAGATGGCTGGATAAATACGGCTCTAGAAGACCAGTTTTCTCTCTCATGGCATAATGAATAATGGGAAACCTGTTTGGTTCCCCCACAACCTTCCATAACCAACAATGATAACGTATCCAGAGAAAGAACTGTGGACCTCAGACCAGCTGAGGTTTGAATCCCAGCTATGCTCTTTACTTAGCTGGGATTGGACAACTCGTTTCTCTGGCTTGGACAACCTATTTCCTCAAGTGCAAGGAGGGGATCAGCAAGCCTGACAAACTAGGTAAGAGAGTTAAACAAATGCCCAGCTCAGTGCCTGTATGTCAGAGAGGCTCCGTAAGTGTGCGTTTCCTTCCATCTCAAAGATGGGGCAGGGAAGGAGGAGTTCCGCCCTCCTTTCTCCTTCCTGCCAGCATCAGTCAGGAAGCAAGCACTCAGCATTCAGGGGGGAACAGAGAGGGCTGGCAGGAATGAAACTACTTGATGAGGCTTACATTTCAGGGAAGAATGAGTATGCAATGTGTGGTTGTCTTCTCGTGCCTTTTCAAGGGTAGGAGAGGAAAGACTCTCTCCTGAGAACACATTCAATCGGCATTAAGAAGATCCTTGGCCATGCATTAAAATAACTGCATGTGGGCTGCTGTCACTCACACCCAGTGGGGATCGTGTCTTCTCTGCGAATGATTCCGGTGCTTGCCAAGTGCTGAGCCAGCAGGAAGGCCGACGGATGTGGATCTGACTGAGGAAATGTAAGCTTCCTCAACAGGGAGAAACTTAAACTAAGTCAAAAGAAGGGCTGGCCTATGGGCCCCCAGACTAACAAAGCTTCATGTATTGTGCACAAATCTGCCAGGTTCTTTAGAGGCATGGTCTCACTAAATCCTCCAAACAAGCCCATTTGAATCCCATTGTCCACTTAATGGAGATGGTAAGTGACTTGCCTATATCTCACAGCTTGTAAGTTGCAGAGGTGAGACTGGAAGCCAGCTCTAAAGCTTAAACCTGAGGTTCCTAACTACTATCCCATCTAGTCCTGAAGGGCTGAGCATTTTGCAGATGAGGATAGTGCCCCAGTCTCCCAAAGTGCTGGGATTATAGGCATGAGCCACTGAGTCAGGCCAGGCCAGGGTTTTTTATGTATGTATGTATCCATATACACATATTGGATATTAAATACATAATACCTATTATGTACTTCTCTAAATTGAATGTGATCATGGGATTATAAAGGAAACAAAATAGTTGTCACCTTTTCCTCAACAGCCCCCTACTGCCCTTACTCTCTCCTGCAGGGGTTGAATAGCATTATTAAATGTAATGGACTGTCTCCATTCCCCTCAAAATTCATGAATGTGATCACGGGATCA